TTGGTTTTAGTGCCTTGAGATGTTTTACCTAATTTATTGCAATCTAAGAATGTTTATTCAAAATTTACAGTCAGACAGCAGTGAAATTAAAAAAAAAGTTATAGATTTTTTTCTTGACCTAAGAAATGTAACTTTATTCCTTGTAACATTTCTGTTGTTGTGTTGCCTTTCATTTGGTATGACTTTTTATATCAAATTGAATAAGCCATTAGCTTTTAGTCTGTAGGAATGTAGATCCATAGATATTTCCCATTAGACAAAAGAAAATCTATAAAAGTGATATCCCCTGGGGCTCGGTCTTCCTAGCTGGCCTAATGGTCTAAAACACCGCTCTGCTGTACCCTTATGGGAAAGAACTATGTTGAATAGTTCCCTTAATATCCAGAAGTATTAATTGGAGAGCTGCACACATTCTCTCAGATAACTTTAGCTTTTGGACTACACCACATATTTAAATCAAATATTCTGATTCAGGGAATTAATTTTATAAATCTTATATTGTTGAAGCTATTACTGACCAAAATTATAAACCTTGTAACCTTTAGAGTTTATTGAAATAATAAGACATACTATATATACTTAGGTAGCCATGTTGTTTTAGTAAGTTTATTTTTTTTAAGAACTTCTCTTTAAATAAACCTTTACTGTTGGTGGTTGCACAAACTCATTGAATTGTATGCTTTAAAATGGTGAATTATAAGGTGTCTGAACCATATTGCAATATAGCTATTTAAGAAGATTTCCACTGCACAAGGTGTTTTCCTAGGTACAAAGTAATACAAAGTAATAGACCTTCAATTTACATTGATAATTTGTTTTTTTAATTGTGAATCTTAATAAATATTTAAAGTTTTAGGACTATGAAATCACATGTGAGTTGTTAAAAGCAATTTGTGTTCTTAATAATTATAATGCATATTTTTGGAGAAACTTCAAAAACTACAGGTAAGAGAAAGACAGTTACAAAATGTGTGGATCTTTTCATACTCATGTAATCTACTATGTATTCTATCCCTAAGCTTTCACTACACTTAACTACTTCCTCTGCATCCATACTTTTGCTGCCGGCTTTCATTAGTAATAAATAGTTTTTCCTTACCATCTTAGGAAAGCAACGAGATGTAAAACTACCTTCTTGTAACAGTAGTTTAGTGAAAGAATTGGTTTTCCCTTCCCCCTATAGACATGAAGGTGAGTTATAACATCATTATAGAAAAAGAAATACAACAAATCTATGGTAGAGTACCCTTTTAAGTACAATCAACTTGGAATTTTATTGTAAAAATTTGCTTTAAAACATATTGGATTTATAGAGAAAATGCAATCTTTGATAAATAATGTGTGGCATTGGACCTCAGGTTGATGTACTATTTTTCTGTCTTTTAAAAGACTTTTGTTATCAAATTTAGCATTAACTTCTAACAGTCAAAATTGTTCACAACATGGTTTAAAGATAACTTTAGTATCAGGGTTTGATTTTTTTTTTTTTTTGTAAATATTAAGACCTAAGTACAAAATGAGGGCTGTATTGTGGATTAAGTGAAATATCTCAAGGCTGTACTGTTCTGATAACTGAACCTGAAGTGACCTTTCTCAGACACAATTACAGAGCTGTATGTTTTTCCTTTAATTTCATCAGGGGTTTAATTAGTATACAAATAAAACTTCCCTTATCTTCCTTTCTACCTAATTGGCTTGTCTTCGCTTATATATGAAGTATGTGAAAGTGGGCTGTAATTAGGGTGACCGTGTTAACCTTTTTTCCTCAAATGTACTGTTGCCTAAAGGCCTCAAGGCCTAAAAACAGTGCTTTGGATTATTGCTTTGCAATCACTATGGCTGTCCCATAGGTTTTCTCATGAGCAGAAGGGCTTTGGGTGCTGCAGGTTCCCACTGCTTAACAGGATCTTCATTCTTCTCCCCACTAAATGTTTATTGATTATCTCGCTGTTCCAGGCTCAGCCTCCAACAACTTAATATCAGGTGACAGTCAGGAGAGTTCTCCAAGTAATTAGAGTTGAGCATTGGGGGAACAATTAGGAGCAGAGTTATTAAACTTGATTTATCCTATTCTCTCCTGAACAGTTTCTTGGATATCAGAACATCACACTTTCACAATCTACCCTGGTTGAGAAATTAGTGGCTAACCTGCTGCTTATCATTGTTGCCTTGCTGCCTGGAGGCACACCCTCTTGGTTTCAGTCATTCGCTTGGAAATATTAGAGTCCATAAAGTTTATCATGGGTTTTAATTAGATAAATATGAACAGGAGAAAAGAAAAGCTGAATTTAAAATAATTTATATATACTATTGCATAGTATATAAGTACATATGTTTATATACTTGTCAATATACTTCTCTTTCTTTAAACTTCAGTGTTGCATTTTTAAAATTTCTACTTTGTTATCAAGAACAAAAAATGAATATTAAGGAAAAGACATATTATTGAATAGCTTTTTTCATGTCTTTGTGTTTTGCATCCATCTCTATGAACCTTAGAGCCCACTGATGCATATGGATACCATGGCAATGTCCTTCAACTTTTAAAATGAGAATTCTGTGTCTATAAGTTATGTAACTATGATTATTTTTTCCCAAAACTTCTCATTTTTATATTAACAAACTGTTGATATAAAAGCGACCTATGCCACTTTTTTTAATACTACTTTTTGTTTCTTTTCTGTAATTTTCTTCTTAGAACTGGTTATTTGGCTATGCTCCAAAAATAGTGCAAGTTTTAAGATAGTGTGGTGACTCCCTGCCATTGCTTCTGAGAAATGAAAATAAAAGCCAATGCAAGCAAGAAGTTTTAGATATGTAGTAGAAATACTAATTCTTTGAGTTATATCTTCTTTGAAAGGATATCATAGAATTGCTGAGTAGCCAAGTATAGTTTTATAATGATTCCAAGGTCATGGGTTCTCTCAGATTGAACCAGGCAGCTTCAGTCTGCACAAAGTTGAAGGCAATATCCTGAACCCCCAAGCAAATAAGCACCTCTAGTCATAAGAGTTATGGAGCAAGAGAATTTGAATGGATTGCTACACATACACTATTTCTTTTTTTTTTTTAAGATTTATTTATTTATGCATACAAGAACTGGGGTATAGGCCAGAAGTGTGTGTGTGTGGGGGGTGAGAGTTTTCAGAGTGGGGAACAGAACAGGTGGGTCTACTGAAATACACTGCTGCAGGGAGCAGTGGGAGAAACAGGAGAGGTCTACTGCACCATGTAGGTCACCTCCCTGGCCTGGGATTGAACTTGCGTTGCAGTGGCTGCAGATAGCTTCATAGTGCTGTGTCTTAACCCCTTGCACCACCAGGGCGGCCCCCACATCTACTATTTCTGTTGGAAAAATAATTTAAGATTTATGTGTAAATCGTAGTGGATCATTAGTTTTATCTTCATATCTGAAACATATACTTTACTACCTGAAATGTATCAGAAATATTGGCTTTAAAAGGACTAAAGTGGGGTTTACTTTATCAGATAATCTAAGAATACTTCAATAACTTTATATATCTTAACATTGGCACAAAATAAGTAGATTAAACATGACTTAAAAATCTGTTCCATATATGGAACACACACACACACACACACACACACACACACATATATGTTGGTTTGAATCAGTGACTCTCTCCTTAATGGGAGGTTCTTGAAGATCTGTTAATACTAAATATTTAAAATAAATTATAACATCTAGTAAGTAATCCCAGTTTGTTTATTTTTTATTTTTGGGCTTATATTTGTTTGACAGCAACTTGGCTATTTAAAAAGTGAAATACTGCATTTAAAAACATTAAACATTTTTAAATAAATGGTTTGACTGATGAATGCTTTCAGTTCACTAGCATTTAGAGTGAATTAATTGGTTTAGCTCCTTGCAAGCAGCTTGAGGTAGCTTTTTATGCTACCTATTGTGCATGCATAAAAAATACTATTAAAAGAGTTTTGAACATGAAATTACAGCATTTTTGTTTTTCTTTACTGACTATTTGAAGCATAGTTATGGATATTAATGTGTGGCTAAACTCTGAGCAAAAAGAAAAATATATTATGCATATGCAATCAATTATTTAACTTCCTGTCCAACAAAATTAATTGGAGAAATTTTTGATAAGCTCATTCTACAAATTTTATAGGCAAAGGATTGAGCAGACTTTTAGGGCTCAGAGATCTTCTGATCCCTATACTATTATATATCCTAGAATTTTAAATGAGTTTTAGTACACTTGCATATTGAAAGTTTTGAGCTAAGTGACTATTTTAGATTAGAAACAAACAGCATATATCAATCCACAGATTTTATACTTTTGTGACTAGGGCAGTATTTATGGAACATAAATAATTCTGAATGCAAGTATTAGTCATAACCTCTGCTAGTTGAAACATGTTGAGCATATCTGTATTACTCTCCTTGATATGGAAGTTATTTATGGAAAGTAGGTGAATTTTATTTTGGAATCCAGTGTGTTGGTTCTCTGAGATGTCTACAGCAACCTATTACAGATATATTTATAAAGAAAGTAGTGGTACTTTTTATATGAGGCTCCTTTTTGTTTTGTTAGGTATCCTAATCCTCTGTCTTCTCAATCACATACACACTTTGAGCATATGATGGTTCTTATTTTAAGTAGACTCTAAATTTCATGTGTCCCCACTGAACTCTTTATTTTTTATCATTAAACAAAAATGCAATTTGAGGCTTTTGTAGTAAGATCTTTTAGTAAGACTGAAATATATGTGCCTTGCAGTATTAAAAAAAAATAAGTTGTATTTTGTAGCTAAACATTTTTCAAAATCTTATTAATTCTATCATTTCTAATTAGTAAGTATGTAAAAATTTTTTGCAGAAAATTTGTTAAACCTTGAAGTGTAATGACCCAACTCTACTTCTCAGTCAGTCTGTATCCTTCTTTGTTTAATAGCCTATGGCATAAATTGAAGTTAATTATCAGGGCTGACAAGTAACTCTGTTTTCTGTCTGCTTGCAGAGTCTCTCCGAGGCAAAGATGGAGCTGAGAAGAAAAGATCAATCTCTGCGTCAGCTCAATAGACATCTTACCCAGCTGGAGCAGGACAAGCGTCGACTGGAAGAGAACATCCATGATGCAGAGAGTGCCCTCCGCATGGCAGCCAAGTGAGCATTTGGACCTTGGGGAGATCACTTAAAACAGACAAAAGATCAATTCTTACTTTCATGCTCTGGGTTTTAGCCCTGGATAATACAGTGTTAGAAAACAAAAGTACAGCTGCCTCTCTTTGAAATTCTCTGATATATCCTCAGAAAAGAAAACTCTTAACTCAACATACTAAATGTATATTTTATTGCAAAACCTCACAGAAATATAAGTTTGTGCATAGCCTCTCATTATGTGTATTTTGGGCTCTATTGTAAAGTTACATGTTTGAAATCATGTTTTCATTAATATGAACTATAAGGTCTCTATTTAAAAGTTTTGCATAGTAGCTTCTATTACATATTCCTAATTCCCTCTTTTCCCCCACCCACTTTTGCTCTATAATATTTTAATATACTAATATTATGAGTAATATTTACTAAAGATACGGTATTACAAAATAAACTTGTATATCATAACATTTTTTTAAATGCAGTAAAACATGTTGATCATGTAAAATTCATTTAATTTTATAAACTGTATATTCTATTATGTTAAATAGAAAGAATATATAGTTTGCAGAATGGGAAGCTATGTAAATATGATGATAGTATTTTTCCTTTTGCCAGGTAATCAAGTTGACATACACTGTGAAGTTCAAATTGAACAGTACTCTTGGGTATTTTTATTTGTTCCTCACATCAAATTTCATGAAATACTTTTAGACAGACCTTTGTATAACAGCATAGCTTAAAGAGAATCTGTTTATGGATTAGAGAAACACCTAATGTTAATAAACTCAGTGTTTTTTAAATTTAAAATTCTGGACTCCTATACTTGCAACATGTATGTGTATATATATTTAAAATTTTTTTTTGAGACAAACTCTCTTGTAAGTATAAAATACCATACTATGTGAATGTAGTCTGTAACCTGAATTACAGAATGGGAAATCTGCAATTTAGGATATTCACAGCTTTGCCAGTGAGCTTGGGAAATTATTTAGCATACTGAAAAAATAAGTTTATATAGACCAAAATATTGGTATGTTTGAATGTCCACCAATGATTTTTTAAAAACCATAAAGCTATATAATACTCACCTCTGTCTTGTGTCTTATAGCTCCGAAAATTTCTGAACTTAATGAACATAGATATCAAACATCCAGATTCACATTGTGTCTTCAAAACATTGTTTTGAAGGAAATTGTCCTGTGTCCTGTGTCATGTGTTCACAGATGGGCACATGGTCATATGACACTGAAGAGAGGTAACTTGAGATTTGAAGAACTAGTACATTATTTACAGTTTTCAATTTATAATTTGCCATTAATTTTTATCTTCAGCATTTTCCTTTGAACTTTTTATTTCACTACTAAGTCTAAATTCAAGATACAAAGCTGATAGAAGAAAATAGTAACTACATACTTCTGGTCAAGGTCATAGAGGTTCTTTTGTGCAATATTGTAGCACAAAGCCTATGTAGGAAAGAAAATATCTTGCGTAGTATGGCCATTTATAATATACCCACCATTAAAATTTTAAGTCTTTTATATTAGAAACCAAAATGATAAGTTTAACTTTCTCAGCATGTTTTATCAATGTAATCATGACTTTTTCCCCTGCTCTTTTTTAACTTTGAGATATACTTAAGATTCTCCCTTGCCCCCCACCATCTAACCTATGGAAGGCAATATAAGAGGAAATAGTGGAGTAATGGTTAAATTGTAGAAATTTGACAGTGTAAAATATGGTTAGGTTTTACACTTTTAGAAATATAATGATAAAAAACCTTATTTTCAATAAGAGACTATACTAAAAGGTATAACAGCATAGTAAGGTTTGGACTTTACTAATACTTAATCTTTATTTTTTTCTAGAGACAAAGAATGTGTTGCTAATCATATGAGAACAGTAGAAAATATGCTTCATAAGGTAATGAAATTTTTCTTCAATATTGTTCAACTTATGGCACTGTTCTCATTATTTTTGTTAACTGCAAAGTACTTTAATTCATCTTGTAACTTTATTTAAAAATAAACAAAAAGATCCTAAAAATTCGTATTATGTAGCCTATATTTGCATAACTTTTCTCAAAAATCATTCTTTGCACTAGATGAAACTTTGAAAGTAATGGTTCCTCAAACTGGTATAAATGTACTTGAATTATTTGTGGTCTTTGCTGACTGAACCAGAGGTTATTAAGATTCTTCCATGTCTCATAATGATAAAATATTTGACCACACTGTCTAACCTCTTACCACTCTTAAATCTGCTATCCTTTGTGTGTGTTTGTGTATACAGACAAAATGTATTATATCTGACAGTATTCAAACTTAGTTTTTAAATAGTAATTTACCTTCTTATAAGAATGTGTTCTTAAAGTAGAAATTTAATGTATTTAATGTTTATTGTGTTCAAATTTGAGTGCTTCTGTATGATGAATTGTTTTTTAATTTGAAGTGATGAGCAGCATAATTATGTATTATGATATTACTAAAATCTTTATAATATATGCACACTATTAAGGAACTTTGTTTTGGGTTTTTTCCCCAATATGTTTATTGAGGTAAACCACAAAATTGGTTTACATTGTATCTGCTTCGGATGTCAGAGGTTCAAATGTATGTTTTCCCATCCTTCCTACCACCAGCACCCCAGTAATTCTCCTTCATGTTCAATTGGGCCCTTTTCCTAACCACTCCCACCCCGCCAATAGCCAGTGTCCCCCTCTGAATGCCTCAGTTTTGCAGTCAGGTGTCTTGAGTAAAACTTTACTATGTTAATCATCTCTGTATTTTGTTAGAACTCTAAATTCAAAGATATATTCATTACTTCAATTATTATAAATATAGAAATATTTTTATGTTTCTGCTACTGTCTAATAGGTAATTTGTTGGAAATATAAATACCTGATAATTTAAAAATATATGGGACTTATGAATGAATCATATTTAGGTGTGTGAATAAATTTATTAAATAATATAGCCATAAATCAGATTACCCAAAACTAACCCTTTCAAGAAAATTTTAAACATTAGCAAACTAATATTTAATACATGCTAATATTTTAGACATTTTGGACCCCTTGTTTTAGATACTGAAATTGACTAACATTTCACTTCATATCAATGAAAGCATTTTGACAAAAATTTTTATTTTATGAATACTATTTTTAAGGTATGATTTGTTTGAAACTATCATTTCCCTCCCCTCCTTTTAAAAAGGTTTAGTCAGTATAGTTTAAGTACAGTCCCATCTACTTCATATATGCTGGAAATCTGAATTCAGATTAGTAGGAAAACATATCTTTGATTAGACTTTTTTGTGCTTAGTGAAATTTTGGACAGAAGAAATCTGTTATGTCATGTGTAATACATACCTTATTATACACTTAAATTGCCTTTAAAATGCATGTATGAAATTGTTAATCTTCCCAGCTGGAGGGAAAAATAATGTTGGATAGCAGCTGTCTTGGGAACTGGACTTTGACTTTAGGGAAAACCCTAATTAATATAAAGTAACTTATTTGTAGACATTTCTTTTAGTGCATTTTAAAACAACGCAAACTGAATATATTTGTTTTCAGGAACAGTAATTACAAATTATGTACTTTAGGTATTTGTAAGTTTTGGTACATGGCATATTACGTTCAACCTTATAATCCTCAAATTGCATGACACAAGGGATTGACTAGATATATTTTTAAATTTCATTTGGGAATGATAAAAGTTTTTATTATGGAAGACTAGTCATTTTTATTTAAAAGCGTATTTATCTTTTCTTTTTTTTTTCTTTTTATTTATTTATTTGTTTTTAAAATAAATTTTATTTTATATTTATCTTTTCAAAGAGTCAAATTTTAGCTTAATTACATTTACATTTGAATATATAATTTTTTTAAAAAGATTTATTTATTTATACATACAAGAACTGGGATATAGGCCAGAGGCGCGGGAGGGTGAGAGGACTCACCAGAGACAGAGTGGGGAACAGAACAGGCAGACTGACTGAAGTATACTGCTGAGGGGACCAGTGGGCGAGTCAGGAGAGATCTGCTGCACCATGTGGGTAGCTCCCTGGCCTGAGGATTGAACTTGTGCTGCAGTGGCTGCTGATAGCTTCATAGGTTGTGTCTTAACCCCTTGTGCCACCAGGGAGGCCCCAGTATATAATTTTTAATGTAGGTTAAAAGTGAACTTTTTATTAAGGTTTTGGAGGTTAATTTTAGGCTGTTGGGATTAAGGAAAATAAGAACAAGGGAAAACAAAATCATCACAACTCTTCATTGGGTGCATTTTTTGTAAGCACACCTCTATTTAGTTTAATTCTCAATTGTATATGCATTTTGAAAAAAATATAACTTGAATTTAAAAAATCACTATATTAATCATTTTGAGATGTACAGTTCAGTGACATTCATTACATCTCAACAATGTGCAACCACCACAGCTATCTAATTTCAGAATATTTTTAATTGCCCCCAAAGCCATTAAGCAGGCATTCCCTTTATCACCTTATCCCATTCTGTGAGTTGCCTTTTAACTTTCCTGACAGTATCTTTTGAAGAACAAAATTCTAAAATTTTGATGTTCAGTTTTTACTTTTGTTGTTCATGTGTTTGATCTCATATCTAAAAACACATAGATTTAATAATATATATATATAACATTTAAAATGCATCCAAAGTAATGAACATAATACCCCTGCCCCTCATATTTCACTCAACGAATTTCATAGTTGTAGCTCTTTGTTCCATACTGAGTTAATTTTTGGATATGGTATGATGTAAAATCCAACTTTGTTCTTTTACATGGCTATCCTGTTATCCCAGCACCATTTAGTCTTTCCCCTTACTCAGCAATCTCGGTACCATTGTTGAAGATGTATGGATTTATTTCTGGACTTTGATTCTATTCCTTTGATGTATATGTCTATCTTATATCATTATCACACAGTTTTGATTACTGGAGGTTTCTAGTAAATTTTGAAGTCAAGAATTTTTATTTATTTATTTATTTATTTTTGAGAAAAGGGAAGGAGGTGGCCCTTTCTTTATTTTTTTTAATATTTTATTTTATATAATTCTTACATCATATTTCATCTTTGTACAATGTATGCATTTTCATTTTGGTTATATTCCCCATACAATTGCACCCCCCCCTTATTTTGACTCTAGTTCTTCCTCTCCCAACCCCTTCCTTCCCCCTACCCCCCGTAGTGAAGTCAAGAATTTTGATTTTTCCTAGATTGTTTTGCCCTTTCAATAGCCGTTGTAATTCCACACAAATTTAGTAGCAACTCTTCTGTTTCTGAAGAAAAAGGCAAGTAGAATTTTGATAGCAATTACAGTGGATATATAGATCAGTTTGGGGAGTATTGCCATCTTAATATTTTAAGTTTTACAATCCGTGAACATGGGAGACCTTCCATGTACTTAGATCCTTAATTTCTTTCAATGTTTTATTCTCTTTAGTGTGCACATTTTCTATCTTTTTGCTTAAATTTGTTCCTAAGTGCTTTATTTTCTTAATTCATGAGATTATTTTCTTAATTTCATTTCCTGAAGTTCTTTTCTGTTTCTATTTTTTTTTTAATTTTTCTTGTTATGAAAGGGTTTTGGGCCTTATAAAACTTTTTCTGCATCAATAAAGATGAACGTATTTTAAAAACCTTCATTCTATTTATGTTGTGTATTTCATAGATTGATAGCTGAACTATCCTTTCATTCCTATTGTAAATAACAGTTGAGTATAGTGTATAATCTTTTAAATATGCTGCTGAGCTTTGTTTGAATATTTTTTCTTGAGAATTTTTACATCTGTATTCACGAGGGATATTGGTTTACAATTTTCTTGTGATGTCATTATTTGGCTTTAGTGTAAGAGTAATACGTCATAGAATGAGTTAGGCAATCTCCTCTTCACTTCAGTTTTTTGGGACGGTTTGAGTAGTACTGGTGATAATTGTCTAAACAGTTGGTAGAATTCAGCAATGAAGCTATCCTGTCATAGGCTTTTCTTATTGGAAATTTTTTTTTATTACAGATTTAATCTCTTTCCTTGAATAGAGCTATTCAGATTTTATGTTGGTTTTTAGTCAGTTTTGATATATCCAGTGTTTCTAGAAATTTGTCTATTTCATGTAGGTTATCTAATTTGTTGACATATAACTTCATTTTCTTAGAATTGTTTTTATTTCTGTAAGATTGGTAGTAATGTGTGTACTGTTGATCCTGATTTTAGTAATTTATTAATCTTTTTTTTCTTTATAAGTTTAGTTTGTCAATTTTGATGATCTTTTCAAGAATTTAATTTGGTTTTTTAATTTGCTCTATTGTTTTTCTAGTCTCTACTTCATTATTTCTGCTCTAATCTTTATTATCTCCATCCTTCTGTTTGCTTTGGATTTAGTTTATTCTCTTTTTATCTACTTTATTAGGACTGAAGATTAAGGTATAGATTTAAGATTTTTCTTCTTTTTAAATGTAGACATTTTCAACTATAAATTGCAATGTGAGTACTGCTTTCGCTGCATCTCATAAATTTTAGTAGGCTATTATTTTGTTTTCATCTATCTCAAAGTATTTTTAATGTCCCCGTGATTTTTGCTCTGTTCATTGCTTGTGTGTTTAATTTCCAAAATATTTGGACATTTTCCAGATATCTTCTGCTGTTGATTTCTAAAGGAACTCTGTGTGGTTTGATATAGATATTTTGCTTCCAATTCTTTTATAGTTTTTAAAGTTACATGATCAAGAACACAGTCTTCTTGGTGAATGTAACATGGAAGTAATGTGTACTCTGCTATTGTGTAAAATATTTTGTTTATGTCTCTTATGTCTAGTTGGCTTACAACTAATATTGTTCATGCTTTCTAATTCTCAGCTTATCCTTCATGTAGTTCTATGCATTTATGAAGTGAGATTTTGAAGT